AGCCTATGAAGCCAGGCTTCATGAACTGGGCTTGTTTAGTTTGGAAAAAAGAAGATTAAGGGGGGACGTGATAGCGGTTTTCAAATATCTAAAAGGGTGTCACAAGGAGGAAGGTGAAAATTTGTTCCTCTTGGTTTCTGAGGACAGGACAAGGAGTAATGGGCTTAAAGTGCAGCAGGGGAGGTTTAGATTGGACATTAGGAAAAAATTCCTAACTGTCAGGGTGGTCAAATATTGGAATAAATTGCCAAGGGAGGTTGTGGAATCTCCCTCTCTGGAGATATTTAAGAACAGGTTAGATAGACATCTGACAGGGATGGTGTAGACGGAGCTTGGTCCTGCCTTGAGGGCGGGGGGCTGGACTCAATGACCTCTTGAGGTCCCTTCCAGTCCTATAATTCTATGATTCTATGATTCTATGTATAGGAGTTCAGGCACACGTTGCTTGTAGCACAGCACTGACAAAGCAGGGTCCTCCCTGGCTTGCAGATTAAGGGCATAGTCAATCATGAACATGTATACAGAAGACCATGTAATAGACCACAGATGTCCTGAGTCAGGACAGGAGCAAGGTATGCACTCAGTGCCTGCATACTTGTTGAGTGAGCCTTTACAACTAGTGGTGCCAAATCATAACATGCCATGATGCAGGAGGTAACTCCATGTGGAGACTGGAAGGTAACTCAATGTGGAGACTGGAAGGCACTGCATCCTGTCTGCAGTTGCTAGGAAGAGCTAGGTTGATATCTTAAAGGGCCTGGTACACTCCAGATAAAAGCCAGGGCATGCCAGATGCCCAAATCATGAAGCCTCCTCTCCTTGCTGTTGGTTTGTGGCTTACAGAAGAAAAAGAAGAGGAAAATATCCTGGTTAGCATGGAAGAACAAAACCATCTTTGGTAAAAAAAAAGCCAGGTGGGGTTGGAACTGGACCTTATCCTTAAAAATACTGTGTATGGTGGTTCCAAAGTTCAGGTTTTAAGCTATGATCCCAGTCTGGGTGACGTCACCACCACAAGGACGGCAATCTTGCATGACAAATGAGTCGAAGGTGGATGGATAGGAGTGCTGTCCTTTTCTGGGCATTCCAGCATTTGGTGACTAGAGGGTTAAACGCAGATAGCTAGAAGGTGTTGGCAGGAAGCCAGGAGAACCAATGGGAAAAGGTGTTGAGATTTGAATGGAAAGGAACCCTGCTTGCTTCTTTTGTGTGTGTGTGTGTGTGTGTGCGCGCGCGAGCGCATAAGTTAAAGCCAGGAAATGGGTGAATAAGATGACTTGAACCAGGCAGGATTCCGATGCCACAAACATAGCAATGGACTGGACCTTGAAGCATGAATCCATGTGTAGATAGGCAATGTCTATTTTGACATGATCAGATGATTTTCTTTGTTTTGAGGAGTTCTGTGGCACCTTATAGACTAACAGATGTGTTGGAGCATAAGCTTTCATGGACAAAGCCCCACTTCGTCAGATGCACGTAGTGGAAATTCCTGAGGCAGGTATAAATACACAGACATATAAAATGTGGGCTCAGTGCCTATAGATGAGGGGCAGCATATGGTGCCATGGAACCATTGTTGTTCATGTTAGCTGCGTTCAGGAGTGGTGCAGGGCCAGGGCAGGGATAAGCCGCCTTAACCTCACTACTCCACTGTCACGTTGCTGGATCTTGAGGGGAGCAGCCAGATCACTGATGCACCCATAGCTGGGGGTGTTGGCCCCAAAAATGGTATAGGAGGGGGCCATGTGAGGTATTGAATAGAAGCTTATTATCTGATAATCCTATGTACGCTGTTCATGAGTTTGTATAATGTCTGTGTGTGCAATTATTAGCATGTACTTGTATGGACACTGAAGATTTCCCTGCATGTGGTTGAGCATTGGGCAGGGCAGGGCCTGTGGACATGCTAATTACCGAGGCCCTGTGGGACAATGGCTCTCAATGGGCCGAGGACACACCTAAAGAATGGGGGCTGTCACCTGAGAGCAGCCAGCAGGGAACACAGAGATTGGCCTCTGTCCAGGTGACCTGCTACATACTAGAAGAGGCCAGGAAGGAGGTATAAAGAGGCCATGCGGTCGATGCCATTTTGTTCTCAGCTCAGCACTTCATCCCAGAGGCAGCAGTGCAGGGATCGAAGAGCCCGGAAGACCTGTGAACCCATCCTGATGATAGGATGTGCAATAAGAACTTTTAAACCAGCAGCTGTAACATCTCTGCTAGAGCCTTCATCGAGGACTGGGAGATTCGGTGCAGGTAACATAATAATCTTTAACAACCTTACTCTCATGTTTTTCTTTCTTGTGATAATAAACCTTTAGATATAGATTCTAAAGGATTGGCCCAGAGTGAATCGTGGGTAAGATCCAGAGGGTAAATTGACCAGGGATCTGTGGCTGGTTTCTTGGAACCGGACAGGACTTGTTCGGGGTAGGTGGGATTGGGTGCTAGGACCCCCCACCTGTGTATGAGGCCCGGGGCCATCTGGGGCACGGATATTGCTGGGGTGTCAGAGGGGTTTTGCTCATGAGGCTTCAGGCAGGCAGCTGAAGCGCTCTGTGGGACTG